ATATACTCTACCACTGAACTATACCCTCAGCCTCCCGTTATTATTCATCTTTGGATAAAGCAATTCAAGACCACCTATATGTGAGAAGCTCCTAGAAAGGACCTGGGCCACACTGCAGGTAGCAGATCTTGTTAAGATGGTTTGTGGGAATGAAGTTTGTTGTTTTTCACTTCTCCGTTGTCATGAGTCCATGAGATGCTGGCTCAGTATGTGCCAACCTCACTGACAGATTGCTTCCTGCGCATGACACTTGTCTATGTGACTCCTGTCTCATTCAGTCTCATCACCTCTGCTCATCCCAGCTGCTGACCTGGGACCAGGCAAGCCCCCACCTGAACGTCCAGTAGCGTTTTATTCCCTGGGATGTGATGCTGATTTGGAGACCTGTGCTCCACTGGCTTCCTCTAAAGATCTGCAGCTGCCTTTCCACTGTGCTTTAATGTTCCTGTCATTTGGCATCCTTCCCTCATGCTTCTGTGGTTGACCAGATGTCTGCTTGTTTCATTTGTGCTAAAATTTAAATTTCTGCTTTGTGTTCTCCTTGCTGCTTGTGGGTAGGTTTGGGAGAAGCAGCAGCAAGAGCTACATTATCGTGGCATCTCTGAACTGGAAGTCCTCTACTGTGTGCATCAACTTGTCCAGCATCAGTTCAGATATTAGCCACCAAGCAACACTCCTAAAACAAGAGAAGTCTAGACATGTCACGTATCTTTAGAAACCATCTGCACAGCTGATGGCTTTTCATGTGTCTTCAGTTCACAGACGGCTAGATCAGTCTATTATAAAGATAGCAGCATTACCAACGAACCTGCTCAGAATGTTCCCTCTCAAAATACTGAAGTCCTAACTCTAAGTACCTATAATGTGACCTTATTTGGAAACAAGGTATTTGCATAGGATCAAGTTAAAATGAGGTCATTTGAGTTGGCTCCAAATATAACTGGTGTCCTTACAAAAGGAAGAAATGTGGAATATTCGTAGTAAGTCTGCATTTTTTTATTCTAATTTTTTTATTAGGATATATTAGTTGTGTGTGGGGGGACTCGTAGTGACAATTCCGATTAGTCTTATATTGTACATTATTTACATTGCCCCCTCATAGTAAGTCTTAAGGGCAGGTGGATCAGGCAACTCTGCACAATGGCCTCCTCACAGATGTCATTTCTCACTTCACAGGGTCTTGCAGATATCTTTTATTCCCTGTTAAGTTCTGACCAGCAGCGGGTAACTTCGACTTTGCAGAGAGGCAAGCCAGAACTCTGAAGGTGCTTTCTCACTGTGTAAGTGAGGCTGTGCGCTATGATGGTGTGTTTCTGAACACCTTAGGGGGAAAGAGGCACCAAATAGCAATGCTTGGCAATTTGAGCTAGGAAGACCAGCTCAAGCAGAGAAGGGAAATGATTAAAGAAACTCTACTTCTCTTCATGTTTGTTGTTCTCCTGTCTATTGTAGCATGCAAGCTCTCAACTTACATGTGCTCAATTCAAGAGAACAGCCAATCCAAGCTGGAAACTTCCAGTCACAAGGAGGGACTTTGTTCTGAAGTAGGTTCAAATGCACACCTCTGGACCACTGAACTGTGGCCAGGAGTGAGGTCACATTGTAATTAAAATGGGAGAAGGGTGTGTGAAAAGGAAAGTTAGGTAAAGAGTTGACCAGGCAGGCAGTAGGAGTCTTCCATGTTTGCATTCCCCTCCCTATTCTACAGAGGAGACTCAAAGAAGACAAAGAAATTGCAGCAGCTGGAAAAAAAGAAAAGAAAAATAATTTGCAGCAGGTACAGTGCTTAGACCTATAATCTTAGGTACTTGGAAAGCAAGAGATCCGGGAGGTTCACCTCTCAACCAATAAAAAATTGGGGGTGGTGGTGTGTGTCTATCATCCCAGACATGCAGGAAGCATGTAATCAGGAAGATCACAGGTCCAGGCTGGCACATGCATAAATGAAGGACCCTTTTTGAAAAATAACTAAAGCAAAAGGGCTGGGGGTATGGCTCAAATGAGAGAGCACCTGCCTAGAAAGCACAAAGCCCCGAGTTCAAAATCCAATACTGACCCCCTCAAAAACAAAAATTTATGGAGAATAGGGGTTGAGTGTAGAGCCTGCAAAAGATGTGATAGATATGTCACTGAAAAAATGTACACAAATCAAATAAACACTGCAAAAATGGTGAGTGGATACAGTGTGGTACAGCCTTTACAATGGCTTCTACTCTGACACTAAACAAAGAACTGATCCTGTACTGTTACACAATACAGGATCAGTTTCCTAGGTACCATGTTTAAGGAAGGAGGCTGACACAGAAGTTCATACAGACAACTCCATTTAGGTGGTATTTTACAAAAGACAAAATTAGCTCAAGAAAGGAGAGATCTGTGTTGCTGGGGGCCCAGAATCTGAGAGGATTGGGAAGGAAAAACTTGTGGGGAAAAAAGTAGCCAGGGACCAGCCGCTCAACATGTAATCCTAGTACTCACAAGGCAGAGGAGGAAGATCGTAGTTTGAAGCCAGCCCAGGCAAACGATTTGAGGCTTTGTCTTGAAAATACTCAACACAAAAATCAGGGTTGGGGGAGTGGCTCAAGTGGCAGAGTGTCTGACCAGCAAGTGTGAGGCCCTGAGTTCAAACCTCAGTATGACCCAAAAGAAAAAAAAAGTAGTAGCCATTATCATTTTTAGGCATCTTTATCAGAATTTACTTCTGAATAAACTCAGAAGAGCTGCATGGCCTAGACTTAGAACTGGATTCAACCTCATCATGACACCATGTAGTTTTTTGAGTTTAAACCTCAGCAACCTCATCTAAGAAACTGGGGATGGTAACATATCCAGCTCAGATGTTGCTGGGATAAATAGGGATGATGTGGAAAGTTCCTTAGTGCTAGGACAGTTTTATTACTTGGTCTGGTTTCAGTGTTTGACTGCCCACAGTCAAACAGTCAGGTTTAGGGTTCCCACTGGGTCTATCATCCCCCAAATGTTAGCTCCTGACCCCCATGTTAAGCTACCCTAACACACCCCTATAGTACATCTATGCTCCCAAATACATTTTTTTCTTTTTTTGAGATACTGGGGCTTGAACTCAGGGCCTTCACCTTGAGCCACTCCACTAGCCCTATTTTTGTGAAGGGTTCTTTGAGATAAGGTCTCACAGAACTATTGCCCATGCTGACTTTGAACCACAATTCTCCTGATCTCTTTCTCCTGAATAGCTCCTGGCCCAAATACATTTCTGATGGTGACTTGTGGATTCTCTCGTAGAACAGAATGTTCTACAACAATGGTCAGCAAACGAGAATATCTGGCAGCCAGGTGCTGGTGGCCCACACCTGTTTCTTATCTTTTTTTCCTGCAATACTGGGGCTTGAACTCAGGGCCTCACACTTGCTGGGTAGGCACTCTACAACTTGACCCACACTACCAGTCCTTGCCTGTAATCCTAGCCACTTGTGTGGCTGAGAACAGTTTGTGAGACCGTATCTCCAAATAACCAGAGCAGCAGGTGCTAGTACACCCAGCCAAGGGCAGAAAGGCAGCTGATGCTTAACAGCTATATGAAGGACCACTGGCCCTACTATTTGGGGTGGGGGACAGAGAATCAACTGTGATAAATTGGTTCTGTATTAATGTGGGCAAAGGGTGGGAGATCCTCGGCCACCTCAGAACTCTGAGAAAGGCAAAGCGGGAACCCTGAACACTCAGAGTCCTAAGGAGCCCACATCTTGTAAATACCTTGGAGCTTCTTGTGGCTTTCTTATTTCAACTCAGGAGCTTTTAACTCACTTCAAAGTCCTTCAGTTTCTCCAGACTTTTTGGGTCCAAGTACCACTGCCTTGGGGTTCGTTGGCCTTGGAATCCTTTGCAATCACCTGTGGATGTTAAGATGTACAGGACCAGAATCTTAATGAGATGAGTGATTAAGTGGTATATGTGGAAAAGGCCTGGGAATTTTTAGCTTCATTTAGAGGAAGTGGAGGAACAGAGGGAACTTCTGGCCCACCATTCTAGGAAGCCACTACTCTCTAAAGTTGGCCAACCAAGAAACAACAGTATAAAAATATTTAGAAATATGAAGACAACTGACTACTGGGGGACAGCAAAAAGAACTTAACATGGTTGCCTGGAAACTGAAACAGAAGTCAGAAGGGTTACTTTGGGGAAAAAGGAGTGTTTATTATTGGGAAGGAACACCACCAGGGAACATTTCAGGTCATGGGAAATGGTGTCTCCACCTTGGCCTGGGCAGGAAGTGGGCTACACAAGTACATCTCATCAAGCTGCACCCTCAAAGACTATGTACTTGGTTGCACACAAAACCTTCTTAAAAAATTTTCAGCTGCTGCTTCTGAGAAGTAGGAATGAGGTTACAGGAGACTGATTTGAACACTCTTTAGTCTGACAAACTTAAAATCGTATTATTTTAAAAACTACCCATATTTGTGGACCACTTTGATATAAATAGAAACTAGTTTTTAAGAAATTTGTCCACAAGATTCTGGTGTGCAGCCTGGTTGAGAACTGACTTTAGACATGATTCCTGTGATAAGATCTTTCTCTGAGGTAAATTCTTAGAAAGTTTAGCCACTCCTTCAGAGTGTTCCTTTTCTAGAACACAGAAGTTGGAAGTGACACAGCAGGTTCATCTGCACAGAATCCCTCTAACTTTTCCAGGCTCTTCCCACCATACCCTGCCAGCTGCTATTGTTTGAAATTCACCAGCCCTGGCTAATGTACCTAGCTGTGAAAACTGGCCTCAGACTCAGTCTAGCCTGAAGCTCTTAACAAGCCCCAGAGGACCAGCTCTGGACATCTGGTTTGAGAGTCACCTGGCTTGTGCAAGTCACCTAGGTTAAGCAATGGAGCTCACTCTACTCCAATTCCTGAATCTGACTGAGTTGGTCAGGGATGAGACAGGGGCTCCCAAATTGGATTCCTATCATCTCTCCTGGTGGCTCTGATGCTGTTGGCTTTTTTCTTTTTTTGGGGGGGGGTGAGGGGGCAATGCTGGGGACAGAACCCAGTCTCTGTCATGCTAGGCAATATCTCTACCACTGAACCACATCACAAACTTCAGAAACACATTTTTGAGAATTCTGCCTAAAAGAGACCATACTGCCACTAGGAAGGGAGGGAAAAAGGCTACCTGTATTTTAAATCAACTTTGAGATACAAGGGTGATTACTTAAAGTAACTTGCTTATCTCAGTGTCTAAATCCTAGAAGTATCCAAGCAACATAACTGTTCTGAAGGGATTTTTAAAATGAGATCATTTGTGTGAAGAACCATGTACTGTGACACTGCTCAGTTTTGAGCGTCCTTTTCTAGCGTACAGAACAATCTGGTACTGCTTAGAGTAGTGGTTTCCTATTCTCTCACATCAAATTTGTTAGTTAGAAACCAAAGAAAGAATACTTTGAGACAGGTCTCACTATGTAGCCCAGGCTGGCCTAGAACTTGTGATCCTATTGCCTCAACCTCCCGAGTGTTGGGATTATTAGCATAAGCCACCACGCCCAGCTAAGAAATAGTTCTTGAAAGGTAAATGTGGTTGATTATACCCTCTAATTTCACTACTTAATAGAGTTTTGCTCATTAGGTTTTGTAAAATTTTAAGTGACACCTGTCAACTACTATATTTATAGTGTATGTAGTCTATATAGCAGCTCTTTAATGCAGAACTGTTGGCTTCACTATATTGGTTACATAGTTTTTATTCATGCTTGTTGAATAAAGAGTACAAAAGAAATCCCCAACTTCTTCAGGTCCAATCCTCTACAGTGGCTGTTAAAGACAGCCCTGAAGTAGTGGAGTATAGTCAGCAAGGGACCCAGGTGGAGCAGCAGTCCACCTGGAATCTGAGAGTATGTATTTACTTCTTTTGGTGCCTTACACTGTAAGGCACTGTTAAGAATGCGACAGAATCGAGGAAATACCCACAACAGATAGTTTAAGTGGCAATTTACTAGACAAGGTACAGTTTAATAATGGTGGTGGTGATTGTTTCTTTCATTTTATTATTATTTTTTTTTACAATAAAGGTGTAGTCTTTATACTCCACACACACAAAATAAAACAAGTGCTTATTATGAAAGAGTCCCTACCCGCTCCCCCCATCAGAACATCCTGAACATAGCAGTTTAATGGAACAGAAAAATCAAGACAGGTCTGATTTTAAAATTTCAATTAAAAAAAAAGCAAAAGTATGTAATACAACAGCTGTTCAACTTCCAAATCTAAATGGGCACCATCAAACAAACAAAACTCCCTGTATTTTGTTTCTCCAGCACACATCCCAGTATAAATGTTCTGAATTATAATCAACTAGTAATTAATAATGGGAATAGAACCTTAGAACAGAAATAATATTGCTTCCCTACCCCTCCCCCCCTTTCTCTTACAGTTGGAGGGTGCAGGTATTAGGGGATACAAAAGTCAGAGGAAGAATTAAAAGAATTCCCAAAGCCACTGCTGTTTGGAGAAGAAAGGAAGACAGCATTTTACAAATGTCCAAAAATCCCAAGGCAAGTAACACAATTCATTCACTATCACTTCTACTTGAAAGAATAAAGAGATCAGCATGTTATTATATAAACTGTACTTTCAGAACTGTATTACAGGCTCACCAGAAACTATGGATGTAGTTTTAGGCTTCACCAAGGAAAACGGGTTCAGTTCAGATCAAGTTAGACACTGCACACCTAGCCTGGCTGGAACGGTGTCTGGAACTGCTCACTGTCACCCTCAACAGCTGTAAACTAAACAAAGCATGTAACTCCATAGGAAGTTTAGGATTGAAGATATATACACAGCTAATTAGATCTCCCCTGCTTCCCGCTCTTCAGAGCTCCTCCTGTCTTCTGATCTGCCATTAGCACTCTCATAGGACCGCTTCTTATCTTTTCGATCTCGGTCACGAGGTGATCTGTCTCTTGAACTCCTGTCTCTGTCACGTGATGCTAAGTCTTGGTCTCTGAATCTTTCTTTTGAGGATCTGAAAAATATTAATTTGAGGAGCAAAATATGTTGGGAAACCCAAAATCCAATGAAAGAATAGGATAAATATTAAGCTATTGATAGCTAAAGAAATATACTAGAATACACCCAAGAGTCAGTTTTCTGACAGAAAAAAAGCACTACCATACTTGATAAGGGCAGTAAAACAAGATGGTGGCAACAAATAGCTAAGGCTCAAAAAGCAGAAGCTAAAATAATGACCTACTAGGTATTTTAAGTATCTCAGAGACAACCATAAAGCTTCTCTAATTCATAAAAAGGTCTTTAATATAAAAATAATATATAGATAATGGCTTTTAAAAGTGAAAGGTATTATCAGATTTTCAAAAAAATGTGTATGAGAATGTAAGATTCCAAATTGGATGGAAATCAATGAACTGGAACAGGGAGGGTTCAGCAAATCCTTTCTAGGTGCTATATGGCCAGACAATAAATATCTGAGGTTTTGCAGGTCACACATTTAGTCTCTGTGGTAGAATTATTCTTCCTTTTCTTTTTATCAACTTTTAAGAATGTAAAACCATCCATAGCTTGCTGGCTGTACAAAAACAGGCTATAGGCCACATTTGGCCTGGAGGCAACAGTTTGCCAACACCTGACTTACATAAAAGAACTACTCAATATTATGGCTTTAAACAACCATTTGTAATGTAAAAATCTGCTTTACTCCTCCTGAGTTAATTCATTCAAACCAGAGTGGAAGACAGAAAAAGATGATCATACTATAATCAATCTGATTCTACCTTCTCCATTCCAATACCAGCTTCACTAAGAAAGGTACATAATAAAACAAGTTCATATCAGAAACTCAATCACAGGAAAAACCAAAGACATGGGATTAGAATATAGAACCTTCTATACCTTCCACATCTGAAATGAGTAACAAATATTACATTTATTTGGTTTTTTACAAGTGATACAGAGCTTTTACATCATTATTTCACTTAACCCACATTCAGAATTAGGATCTGAGGCACTGCCAAAACCTGAATACTTAAAAAAAACCCAAAAACTTTTCGTGCTGGCATTTACAGAGCCTCACATATGCTAAGCATTGCTCTACCACTGAGCTAGAAACTCAGCCCTGAATTAATTAATTAATTAATGCTTTCAGAAAACCATAAGGCAGGAAATAAATACTGTTATACCCAGCTTTAGACATTGTTTAATGAGGGGTTATGGTTTGGATACAAAATGGCACCAAAGGCTCATGTGTTGAAGGCCTGGTCTCCAGCTGGTGGCTCATGATTAATAAACCCAGGAATGAGTTCACAACTGACTGGGCTGCTGTAGGTGGGCCTGGTGGAAGGAAGTAGGTCTTTTAAGGATAAAATTTGTCCCTGGCCCCTATCTGCTCTCTCTCACTGCTGCCTCCTGCCTGCCATGAGGTAGCCCCTTGGCTCCACCACACGTTCCCTGCCATGACACTCTGTCTTACCATGCACAGGTCCAGAGAGCATCAATGACCCTGAACTGAAATCTCTGAAACTTTTAAGAATAAATCCTTCCTCTCATCAACTGTTTGCTCAAGGATTTTGTCACAGTGACAAAAAAGAATGAAAGAGTGAAACAAAAAGTCTGTAAGATTAATGCCATGGGGGGTGGGGGGCTTGAACTCAGAGCCTTGTGCTTGTTAGGCAGGCACTAAACCACCTGAGCTATGTATCCCGTCCCACCACCTTTTGCTTTAATTAATTTTCAGATAGTTCCTGTTGTTTTTGCCCAGGGCCAGCCTTGGACTGTGATCCTTAAACCTATGCCCCACTGGGATTATAAGCATGTACCACCACCCCGGGCTACTTGTTTAGATGGGGTCTTGCTAACTTTTTGCCAGGACTGGTTTGCAATCGGTATGAGTCACCATGCCCAACGATTAATGCCAATTTTGAGCATTCTATTTCAGGTTTTAAGAATATGTTAAGGAAAAAAAAAATCACATAGTACATCATTAGTCTTTGTAGGAATGAGATATGAAAAGAGATGACAGAAATAACTAAAAATAAGGACATAAGATGCTGGCAAGTCCCAGAGGTACCAGTGATAATAACTGAAAATCACAAGAAACAAACATCAGCTCGTCATCTTTTGTGAGATATTACAATGTTCTACACATAGGCATTCTCCTATGGTTTACACTACTGTTGGCCTAATAAAGGAAATACTCTTACCATCTCTATTGAAGCGATGGGGAAAGACAGTGGAGTAATTACATTATTTAGTCAAGGCCACTGGACCCCAGTAGTCTGCTGAAGACTAAACTATATGCATTACAACAGCTGCAAAGGGTCCTCAGTGACAGGGGAACTGCCAAGAAAAGGTCACAAATGCAATCTACTTACAACAGAGACCAGTACTTCACAGCAAGGGCAAGAAAACAGCAAAACATCAAGAACTTTTAATGGAAACTTTCACCTTGAAAAATTTAATCCACATGTAGCAAGCACTTGATGCTATAGGTAACAACAAGCAGGTTTTAAGACCAATTATTTGCTAATTTTTTGGTAAAAACAATGTTTTAACACAGTAATTTGAATTCAAAGATGAGGAGTACTCGAGAAAAGCAAAACATTTTAATAGTTTTACAAAAATATGGCTCTTTAGGAGCATGCTAAGGACCTCAGATGGGAGAGGCGCTATGGAGTGTGGAGAGAAAGTTTCTGTACAACTCCACAGTGCAGGAAGCATCAGGAACGAAGATGATACAATCTCAAAGGACAAGACTTGGAACTCGACACCCATCCCCCCACCTCCACCACCAATAAATACATGTAAGAGTTCACAAACACTGAAACAATGATAGCTGGGTATGTCAACACAAGAATCATCTAGATGTTTTATCACCTAGATGCATGATTCTCAAATTTCGTATGCAAGACTCACAGAGAACTTTTTTGTTTTTTTCAAATTCTGTTTCTGGACCTGCACTGAGGGTGGCCTCCAAAATCCAGTTTAAGAATGAGAGAAGTGGCCTAGGAGTTTCTTTCCTACTTGTTTAAATTACATCTGCTCAATCCATGCTTGATCAATTGCCTGAAGCCATTTCTAAATACTCTGGTATTTACTCACCTAAACTTGACCATCACTTACCCTATGATATCCAGTTCAGTACTTCATAATCTATGGTCAACTGTGCTTTAACTCACACAGCAAAGTTGTTAGAACAACCCGAGTAAGGGTACTCCACAATATTATGTTTCTTTGTGTTTTTGTTTGTTTGTTTTCCTAAGCCTTGTATGGTATAAAGTATACAATTCTTAATACCAGGTGTGGTGGTACATGCCTGTAATCCCAGCATTCAGGAGGATGAGGCAGGAGGATCTCAAGTTCAAGACCAGCCTGAGCTACACAGTAAGATCCTACCCAAAAAAAACACATTAAAGTATATAGTTTCTTATTACATGTCATCTTTTGGACTACTTAATTGAAGCCAGAAATATAATAAATGAAATATTTATTGGGAGCCTCTTGGGTGCTAGTGACTCATTGCCTGTAATCCCAGCTACTCAGGAGCCAGAGAACAGGAGGATTGCGGTTGGAAGCCAGCCCAGGCAAATAGTTCGAGAGACCCTACCTCGAAAAAACCCATCACAAAAAAGGGATGGTGAAGCGGCTAAAGGTGTGGAACCCTGAGTTCAAGCCCCCGTACCGCCAAAAAAAAAAAAAAAGAAGAAAAGAAAGTAGCTGAGAGCCTAACTCCTGTGATTTCAGAGAATGGGCAGCTGAGAGTACAAAAAAAAAAAAGGGAAGATTTTACCAGGTTTCTGTGTACTCTATTATGAACTTTATGTGCAATAACCAATAGAAAATTTAAAACTAGTAAGCAGGCACTCAAAAAATGTTTACCAATACATACTTAAAAATAGCTGTCAAGAAAAGAAAGCAATTTAAGTATGGTTTACGGTCCATAGAAATTCCTGATTTGGGGGCTATTCTGTGACCTGAGAAGTTTGGGGAACTTAAAGTCCTCTACTCAGTTCTAATCCCTAGTCTGCTCTTGCTGGATATTCAGGTCCTTAACTATACACCTTACAGTGTCTGCCCTCATTGCACCTTTTGAGTTTTCTCATTATGCCAAGAAATGTTGTAGCTTCCTTAAAATTGAATCTGCCCAACAAGCTAACAGTGTACACACAATGCATTACCTATAGTGTGGATTAAACAAGGATTTACTAGAATGTGTCCACTCCTAAGTAGTTTACCAGCTCAAATAAATTGGAAAACAATCAAAGCTAAACAGCTCTTTTAATGAAAGAACTTCTCAGAGACTCTAATTTTAATACATATAGAAAAAACTCAAGAGTATTAGTGGCTAAAATTATTTGCCTGAAAAATACTGTTTTCCAAGGCATACTAAGTAGAGAAAGCAATAACCTCTGCACATCAGTTCCAATTTCTTACTCTGGCTCCTATGTAATTCTTTACGAACTACCATATAATCAAGGAGAAATGTATACACCCACACAAAACACATACACATCACCAAGTGTAAGTTTCTAGCCAATATTCTAAACTCTAAACATAAGTAAAGTAAGTAAACAAAGGCTAAACATAAAAGTAGCTGCATATCCTCTGATCGGCACATCAGTACCTCCTCTTGGATCGCTCTCTGCTCCTATCTCTAGAACTATGCCGACTTCTCTGGTGGCTGCGGCTGCGGCTGCGGCTGCTGGAGCGGGACCTGTGGCGATGGCGTTTCTCCCGAGACTTGGATCGAGTCCTCCTCTTGCGTTCTCGTGACACGGAGCGAGACCGATGTCTGCGATGCTCTCTAGACCTGGATCTAAACAAGATGACAAGACTTACATTTGTTCTTATCTTTGTCAGTGCTACATCTTTCTTTAAAGATGAACTATTTTAGTTGACTTATTTGATGCCAATTGCATACCAAATCAACTAAACTTGCATTAAAATAGGTTGCTGACTTATGTTACTAACTACATACAACAGGGTTTCCAATTAAAAGTAATTCTCAGGGGTCACTCAGGACTTTATGAATTTGCATCTGTGGGCTGGGGTGTAGCTTAGTGGTAGAGCGTATGGTTGGCACAACCAAGGCCCTGGGTACAATCTCTAGGCCCACCAAGAAAAAAAAATTTTCTTTCATATTAAGAATATAAAAGAGGCAGGCACTGGTGGCTCACACCTGTAATCCTAGCTACTCGGGAGGAAGAGATCAAGAGCATCGTGGTTGAAGCCAGCCTGGGAATAGCTCAAGAGACCTGACCTTGAAAGACAGCCAACACAAAACAGGGCTTGCAGAGTGGCTCAAGTGGTAGGGTACCTGCCTTGCAAGTGTGAGGCCCTAAATTCAAACCCCATCACTGCCAACAAATTAATTAATTAATTTTAAAAAGTGAAGGTAACAGTCTACCAGTTTATGCCAGGAACTGTATTAACAAAATGCTTTATGAATTTAAAATAATTTAAATTTGTTTATAGCATACTTTAGAAATTAAGTATATAACTGACCCACATAGACTGAAGAATGGAGAGGCATTTATCCTAAATTGCTGTTCCTCTGAATTAGAAAGGTTATTACTATAGGTAAGTTATTTCATTAATATTTTTGGGGGTACTGAAGTTTGAACTCAGGACCTTACGCTTGTTAGGTAGTCACTCTACCACTTGAGCCATGCTGCCAGCTCTGAAGTCCTGAATGAAATCAAAACAGAGCATCCAACAATTTGGGAGAAAATAAACATGCAAAAATCATTTCAGAGGGGCCAGGCATGGTGGTGTACGCCTATAATCCCAGCTACATGAGCTATGTGGTAGGCATAGAAGAATAGATTTTAAAGAAATACTTAAGAATATTTTAACTCCCCACTATAATTCGGAGTTCTAATTTTACTGATGAAACTAAGTTGTGGTTCACGAGTGTCCTCTGAGCAATGCTCAAAACTGAACTACCAACGAAATAATAAGTTTATTAATTCTCATTAATTTTTCAAAGATACACGATCTATAAAAACCACCTTTGAAGAACACAACATCACTTATACCTATCTTCCATAATACCTACCTTTTGGGATTCTTGCTATGTGATCGGGACCTAAAAAAAAATACCCACTTTTAGAAAAGTTGACTACAAATAAAAAACGCTATGCTGTTTAATTGCTTTCTTCCTGATTTCTAGGTTTTATATTAATTCTATAAAAATAAAATATGTACTTATGCACCTTATTTTCCAAAATGCACCATAAACTCTACATATCACCACCTTGCTATATGGGCTTCTTTAACCAAAAAGACATGTTGCTCTTAAAAATGTGCTCCTGAAAAAAATTTGGAAGCTTCTTAAAAATCTAAACATTGATCTACCATTTGATCCAGCAATACCACTCTTGGGGATATACCCAAAAGAATGTGACACAGGTTACTCCAGTGGCATCTGCATACCCATGTTTATTGCAGCACTATTCACAACAGACAAGTTATGGAAACAGCCAAGATGCCCCACTACTGATGTTTGGATTAAGAAAATGTGGTATTTATATACAATAGAATTTTATGCAGCCACGAAGAAGAACGAAATGTTATCATTCGCTGGTAAATGGATGAAACTGGAGAACATCATTCTGAGTGAAGTTAGCCTGGCCCAAAAGACCAAAAATCATATGTTCTCCCTCATATGCGGACATTAGATCAAGAGCAAACACAACAAGGGGACTGAACTTTGCTCACGTGATAAAGCGAGAGCACACAAGGAAGGTATGAGGATAGGTAAGACACCCAAAAAACTAGATAGCATTTGTTGCCCTCAACGCAGAGAAACTAAAGCAGATACTTTAAAGCCACTGAGGCCAATAGGAGAAGGGGACCAGGAACTAGAAAAAAGGTTAGTTCGAGAAGAATTGACTTAGAAGGTAACACACATGTACAGGAAAGCAATGCGAGTCAACTCCCTGTATAACTATCCTTATCACAACTAGCAAAAACCCTTGGTCCTTCCTATTATTGCTTATACTCTCTCTTCAACAAAACTAGAGATAAGCGCAAAATAGTTTCTGCCTGGTAGTGAGGGGGTTACGGTGGGGAAGGGAGGGGTGGGGTAAGGAAGGGGGAATGGGGAATGGGGGAGAAATGACCCAACAAACATTGTATGTATATATGAATAAAAAAAATGAATGCAAGTCCAAGTTAGAATTGTATTTTTAATCTATTTCAAAATTTTTAAGAGTAACTTTTACTAATAAAAACCATATTAAGCAAAAAACAAAAAAAGTGCTCCTGAAAGACTAAAACTTGATATTTCTTTAATTTTCCAGAAAACACTTTCTAGCCTAGAAAAAAAATTGTTACCTACAGCTCTTTTATCTTTTTTCCCCTTCTAGGAACAGTGTGGAAAGTCTATGATATGAAATGTATACATTTTGGGCCCATAAATTCATACTGTGATCCCTCAAACACCTAATTCAGTCTTAAAACATCTGTCTCTTCACCTGAAATGAGATACTCATAGATAATTCACTCTTCACATTCCCCAGCACACTACTAATGCACAATAAATTGTAGTAGTCAATGCTACATAGTTGTTTTTTGTTTGGTTTTTTTTGTGGATGATATGTAACATGGCTGAAAGCATGGCTTTGGATTCAGACAGATAAGGAAGGGTTTTAACTCTCTAGCTCTACCACTGACCATCTGTGCAACCTGCATAAATTAGAGATCCTCTCTCAGCTTAGTCTGCCTTTGGCAAAATATACACTTCACTAGGCAGGGGGTTAAGGATTATATTGTGGTGGGGATTAAGATTCATGTTTGAAGACTAGGTCCAGCTGGTGGATCTAATCATTAGCAAGGTGATTAGGTCATGAGGGCCCTGACCTAACCACTCACAGATTCATTATTTGGAAGGGTGCAAAGTAGGAAGTAGGTCACTATGGGCGTGCTTTTGAAGCCCCTTCCTGTTAGTCTTTCTCCTTCCCCTTGGCTGCAATGAAGCAAGCAGCTCTCCTCCTAGAAGTCCTTCCACACACTCCTGCAGCAATGATGTTCTGTCTCACCACACACCCACAGCAACAGAGCCAGCCAACTGTGGACTGAAACCCCTAAAACCATGAGCCAGAAGAAATCATCCTTCCTTTAAGTTGTTTTTCTTAGGTATTTTGTCACAGCAACAAAAATCTGACTACTACAGATTAGATAAATTAATTTAGGCAAATTTCTTAGTACTGAGGCTGGCATATAGTAAACACCAAGGATAGGGACACCCCCCCCATGTCTTTTTCGGCACTATAGCTAGAAATCTCATCTTGTATAATTTTATACTATTTACAAAGTTATCTTTCATTCTTAGTTACAGTATTTCAAATTCAGATATTTAAAAGAAAAAACATTTCTAAACATTTCTGAAACAATGTTACATTCTGCAATCACTGCCAAAGGAAACAGGAGTAAGAAAGTGAAAAGAGTTAAGAAGTAATGTACTTTTCTCATCTACAAAGTGTAGTCCTACAAACAAATTTATGCTTATCTGACCATTATCTCGATTGATTCAAATAGAGAATTCCATGGTTGTATAAAATACCATTGATACTATCTTAAATATTATAATACTGGGCAATATATCCATTAAGAAATTGGAACAGACTCACATGCAGTGGTGAAAGCCCATAATCTTAGTACTCGGGAGGTTGAGGAAGGAGGATTTTAAATTCCAGAATAGCCTAAGCAAACAAGACCCTGTTTCAAAACAAAAACCACCCCCCCCACAAAAAAAAGCCCTACAAAATACAAAGTATTCAACAAGAACAGGAGATAAAAGTCCTGAGGCTTTGTTAAATGTGAAAGAGAGACAGATAGGCAGAGACAAGAGAAATGGAGGACAGACGGTACTTCTTAAAAGAGACAATATCCACATAGCATTGTTTCATTTTGTCTTTGCAGTGCAAAAGATTGCCAGTCAAAAGTCATGTAACAGGAAGGAAATTCACTTAAACAACTTGAAGTATAATATGCTCAAAGCTAGTAAGAAGCTGGGCATGGGTGACTCACACCTATAATCCCAGCTACTTAGGAGGTAGAGAAGATCAGGAAGATCGCAGTTCAAAACCAGCCTGGGCACACAGTTTGTGAGACTCTATCTTGAAAAAGCCCATCACAAGAAAGGGCTGGTGGAATGACTCAAGCAGTAAGAGCATCTGCCTAGCAAACGCTGAGGCCTGGAATTCAAACGTCAGTACCCCCCCCCCCCAAAAAAACCTGTAAGAAGTTGGCATGCCCTACTCACATTCTATTAATTTAGGCATATCTGCGACCTCCAAGAAAAGGTATTTTAACTTTCAAAGATATGTAATATGATTAAAGGAACACTACAGATAAAACAGTTAACTCCTTTGTGGTCCTTCTAAACTTGTGAACATGAGTTACAAAGAATGTTGCCACATTGATGCTATTCAATTTTAGTTATCAATGGGTAAAAACATGGTTTAGAAAAGTGTTTAAACAATCTAATTATGCAGAATTACAGGATTTATCAATTAATGCTAATATAAGAACTATGTACACTTATTTACTATGAATGAAATTTTTATGATTAATGGCTCTTAGAATTAAGAAAAGAACTAAAGTTTAAAAAAATAATCAATGAAACAAAACCCCTCAAACCTTCTAGCAAATATAAAATACACAGAGTATAGCTCTAGGTCACACAGGTACAAATCTAGCCCAATATGAGAAAAAAAAAATCAAAGGGCTAGAAAGGTGGTGTGTCATAAATTTTACAAGACTTCTAAAGATGTGAAGCAAGCAGAGGATGTAGTACACTTCCACAATCCCAGTACTCAGGAGGCAGAGGCAAGAGGATCCAGATAGTTCAAGGCTAGTCAAGGACATAGTAATACCTTGTCTCAAAAAAACAAAGGGCTAAGGATGTAGCTCAGTGATGGAATGCTAACCCAGCATCGTGTAATCATGTACAAGGTCCTGGATTCAATCCCTAGCTCGCATGAATGCACACACACACAAAAACATACAAAGCATTCTTTTTTTTTTGGCAGTACTGGGGTTTGAACTCAGGGCTTCAATGATTGCTAGGCATGTTTGAGAAAGAAATCACCTTCAGTTAAATGACTAAGAATTAATACAGGTTGAGCCCCCCTAGTATGAACATCTGAAATCAGAAATCCAAAACTTGGGCACTTTTCTTTTTATTGGTGGTACTAGAGTTTGAACTCAGGGCCTCATGCTTGCTAGGACTTGAACCACACCTCTAGCCCCCTTTTGAGCACAGACATGACACTGAAAGAGTTTCAGATTTAGGAGCATTTCAGACTTTGTATTTTTGAATTACGGATGTTCAAATGGTAACATTTATTAAACAAATATTCATAAATTAAAAAAAAAAAAAACCCTCCAAAATTCAAACACTTTCTTGTCCCAAGCATTTCACATAAGGTATGACACCTGTAAATTTATATAAGTTTTCTTGCTTTTTTTCCATGTCCCACAACAGATTTCATAGTACCTAAAATATTGTCTCAATCACATTCCCTTTTAGATCTGGGGAGATTTAACTTCAAATATATATGGACTAATACTATGACTTCATACCTTCTTAGCTTCTCCCGTTCTTCTCTCTCTCGTTCTTCTCTTCGTTTCAGGCGTTCCTGGTTTCTTTTCTCCTGCTTCTCAGCTACAACTCTCTTAAATAATAAGAAGCGTGTATTTATTGGGTCGTAAAACTAATAATATAATAATGTAGCAACTTATTGGGTCAATCTAAATTATCTTTAACCTCAACTTTATAATATGGCTTTCAACATAGTACAACTAACATCAAAATCTGTTAAACAAGTCCATCACAATGTAATTATTAGGTTTAAAAGATATGTACAAAATCTACAAGATTTTTCTCCACTGAATGTTTCCCAGCATTACTGTGTAGTTTTTGGATTTCAGTTTGAAGAGACCCTATCTTCAAAAAAAAAAAACCTTCACGAAAAAGGGCTGGTGGAGTGTCTCTAGGTGTAGGCCCTGAGTTCAAACCCCAGTACTGGAAGAAAAAAAAGTATAGCGCTTTAATTCCAGTGACAAAAGTGCATAGAAAGTGACTACCCATTGTTCCCAATCTTTGAGTCAGCTTGAAATTAGTGACAAAATGTTACAGGGCCACAATTATACCAAATCGATGATAGTTACTGACTCTGTCCCACCTTTACCACTTCGAAACACTCCAAATTTTTTTGTGTTTGCTTATTCCTCAACAGAACTTAGAATGTGAGTAAGAACTGTATTTGCCTTTTCCACAATAGCCTGTATGTTTAACAATAATTGTCCTGTCTAAGGTACCACCCTACAGCCTTTTCTGAAATGGGGCAAGAATATAAAAGACGAGGATGTATGTACAAGCTTGCTATTTAGTGAAGAATTGCAAAACATTTCAAATATTACTGGGCTCACTTTCTCAAGTTCTCTCTAACTAGTATCATATTACTGAGTTTACTGAAAAGAAAGGTAACAAACATTTCAGGGGATTTTGTAAAAGATTAGTTTAGAAAACAGTTTGAGTGATTCCCATCTGTGTCATGGACTACACAAAATGCTGCATCCAGAGTAATGAAGTGGCACTGAAAAGCCTGCTTCTCAGATATATTCCACTATCCACCTTGGATCTCCATCTGCAATCCTACACTCTTCAGTCTGAGTTAACAGATATTAAATAGAACTGAATAAGAGTCAAGAACACTATTCCAAAGGAGAACTAATACAGTTCAAAGGAATACATGGTTAAATAAAGTGTGGGATGTAAATTTACCAATGTACCTTTAATTCTTCAAGCTTCTCTCTTATTTCAATAAATCCCAGGTGCAGTTTCCCCCCAAAATGATCAGCCAATCGTCTGTCATTGTCATGAAGACCTAAATAGGCAGAGCAGACTTCACAGACTCGAAGTTTCTGCTGTTGGAAACTGGAAGCTGGCATAGAATTCCGATAAACTTCCTAAAAAGGGTCAGAAAAACAATGATCAGATAAACCTCAGTAAAAGTCATACAAGAAGACTAGGATGTGGCTCAAGTGGTAGAGTACTTGCCTGCCAAGTGCTAGCTCCTAGGTTAACTCTCAAGCACAGCCAAAAACAAAACAAGCAAAAAGCCATACAAGAAAATACACTACACTTATACTTTTACCTTACTAATATAATTCTGTTTCTTGTTTGAGCTAATCAACATACTCAGTTTAAAATACTACATTTTCCAAGCGTTGGCTAATAAGATGTCAGTGGAAATTGCTGGATAGAATCCATAGAAGGTTCTTTAAAAGATTCAGGCAAAAATCACCAATGGCTACCATAAACTGTGGGTCAAAAAGTGTTAAGAAAGGCTGAGGATGTAGCTCAGTGGTAGAATGCTTGCCTGGCCTGTGCAAGGCCCTTAGTTTAATCCACAGTACCACAAAGGAAAAACAAAAAAAGTAACTGAGAAACAATACTGACCAACATGCTTACTAGTTACAAAAGGGAGGCACTGCAACTTCACAGGCACCATCACCAGAAATGTGATAAATTACTACCAGGTGTCTCTTGACAGGAATAATCTAACCATCAGGGGCTGGACATGTAGCTCAGTGGTAGAGGAATTGCTTAGCATGTGAAAAGCGCTGGACTAAATTCTCAGGCACCATTCCTCATCCTAACTAAGGAAAAAAAATAGACTAACTCAAACCAAAGGACATTTTATAAAATAACTGACCAATGTCTATGGTGATGCATGCCTGTAATCCAGCACTCAGAAGTAAGGACAGAATGCAGGAGAATCAAAAGTCTGAGGACAGCATGGGTTACACACTGTGAAACTGTTTTACACACACACACAAAGGAAAAAAAACAAAACAGACTGCCGGTGGCTCACACCTGTAATCCTAGCTACTCAGGAGGCAGAGATCAGGAAGATCCCGTTCAAAGACAGCCCAAGCAAATATTTCGTGAGACCCTATCCTGAAAAAACCCAATACAAAAAAGAACTGGTGGAGTGACTCAAGGTATAGGCCCTGAGATCAAGCCCCAATGCTGTGCAAAAAAAAAAAAAAAAAGTTTTAAGAGCCTGCCTAGCAAGTACTAGGCCAAGTTTAAACCCCAATACTACCTACCCCCACCAAAAGTATTATTGGGACAACTAATGATAGCTGAATAAAATAATAGCCTTGAATCAATGTTAATTCTCAATTTTTGATAATTATGCCATGTTTTCATATATCTACCTATCTATCTATATATATACATATACATATATACACGTATATGATAAAACATCCTTTTAGGAAGCACATAGTATGCAACACAGTTTAAACACACACGGAGGATAGTAATAATGCAAATGTGGTAAAACATTAACATTTGGGGAGTCTGGGTAACTAATACTAGCATAGTCTTTGTATTCTTTTTTACTTTGCTGAAAATATTTCACAGTAAAGAAATTTTAAATTAAAATGTACATGAACTAACACATGAATTCAAGTCAACTCATTATTGTGCTTTGATCTTTTTTCTATTTACCTTAAGAGGTAAGGCCTTTTTTTTTCTAGGTTAAGTGAACAAATTGATTACTAGCACAAATTGGTAAGAATGAAGGCGAGTCTATACAGAAAGGATAGCTGACCATAAAGTCAAGATTAGTCTTGTACTCCAGATGGCACGATGGGACTACACTGTCTACCACCCCAGACTCCCCAACCCTAAATATTTAGTGAGAAAAACAAAAACCTTCTCTAAGTCAGAATGAGGTTTTCTATTATGTGCAAGCAAACAAAATCTATTCAGTGCAAGGACCTTGGTAAAAATCAAAAGGGTGAAGATGTTAAGCTCCTGGGCAACAGTACGAAAGCTTTGTACACAGTTACAGACTTTCATAAAGACTACAACTATATGGAAGGAAAATAATACTCTGATTTCATTACCAGAGTCTTTTGGGGAAATACATTAACTATAAATTACTCTGCATTTTAACATTCACATTGTTTATTTTTTGGATTGACATTCATTATATTTAAAGAAATCCTAAGTATTAAGACACTGAAACTATGAAGAATGTCTGTCTTTTTCCATCCTATTACTTTTAACCTGTGTCTTTAAAGGGGCTGGTTTCTTGTAGACATCATATAGCTGTCTTGCTTAAAAAAAAAAAAAAAAAAATCAGTCTTCTACTGTCTTTTAACTGAAATGTTTAGACCATTTGCACTTACTATAACATTGGGTTTGTATCTACTATCTTATCATATGTTTCCTTTTTTTTTTTTTTTTTTCTTTGATGAGGCTGGGGTTTAAACTCAGGGCTTCACACTTGCAAAGCAGGCGCTCTACCACTAAAGCCACACCTCCAGTCCATGTTGTCTGGTTGTTTTGGAGATGGGGTCTTGAGAACGGGCTGGCCATGAACAGAGATCCTCCCTATCTCAGCCTCTCAAGTAGCTAGGATTATAGACATGAGTCACTGGCACCCAGTAGGATCTCAAATTTTGACCTGTACTGTGAAAGAGGAGAAAAGATGCCCCAAAGTATTAGCAGATTGTGGTGAGATGAGAAGAGAGGCAAGAATGCTACAACTGCCATGGGGGCCAATGGGGGCAGTGTAGCATGCAGAGTGTATTATGTGTGTTGGTATTTGTAACTAGCTAATTTAGTTAAATCTACTAGTTATAAATTTCTATGTCAATGTCCCCAAATTCCCCAAAACCACCAATTTTTGAATAAAATACAATATGACACAGAACAAATATTCCTAAATTGGTTTAAACTCCTTTTAATAACTTTGAATTAAATATATGTTCTACAAGAAGGACTAATAATAAGGCATTAGTGTGACTTTAAGAATTTACCTCTGCTTCTCTTTTCTTTGCCCGTGCTTTCTCTACTTCGTCCATTACTTTCTGAGATTCTTCTACATTCCCTTCAGCTCCTAGTTGTTCCACCTTGGCTAACAATTTTCCAATTTCTTCATTTAACTCATGAACACGTTCTGCCTAGGAAGAAACAGGAAAAGATCACGAATAAGCATCAGAATGAATATTGAACTTCAAAGGATTTACAAAAATGCTCTGAAAAGATTTGTAAATCTTTGCAATGAGTGTAAATAATGCTTTCCGAGCATTTCTTGAATTACTAAGATACAGGATGTTTGGAACTTACCAGCCTTCACCTCACTGAGGTCAGGGATACTAGTGATCTCAATATAACTGCTACTTTCCAGTTATAACTTTTCTTCCTTGATCTTGCTCCTTGCACCTTCCCAAATCCTATCTTGCTGTTCCCCCACCACTTATCATAATCTATAGTATACTTAGCTTCCCAGATTTACCCTGTTGTTTTCTGCCTGTGACTTTGCATATATTGTTCCCTCTTCCTGAGATGTTATCCTTTACCTTTCTTGCCTATCTAGTGGATGTCCATTCATTCAACAAGATCTAACTCAACAGTCTTTCTTTAACACATTCTTGAAGAAGCACAACATTCCATTCTCAAACACATTAAGCACAGAGGACCATACCCTTCTTGTGCCAGCTTCTGCATGTTTTTTGACAGTTATTTGACATGTATTGTGCTGGGGATGGGGATGTAGCTCAGTCATGAAGTGCTTCAGAGCATGCATGAAGTCCTGAATTTGATTCCCAGCACCACAAAAAAAAAAGGGGGGGGGGAGATAGCTAACTGAATTTTCCATCTTTGTAAATCTGATGCCCTACAATCACAGGTTCAAATATGAGTCAAAGAAATGAACTGGGGGACACTTTGTAACACAAGGTAGACACAGCTTAAGAGCCTCATATATGTGGATTTTCTGGCCAGTTACTTAACCATGAATCCATTTCTCATCTGAGTAATAGGGAAAACACCTTCCTTACAAAGTTGTAAGAAATTAGAAAAATGTGTTTTCTGTGTACCATACAGCAGTGTTGATTATCAGTACATTAGCATGGTACTTCCTCTCCTTGAGACCATGTCTTTCAACTGAGATTAATTCTTGCTTTAGGATTTGATGTGCCTCCTCCTTCTGATCACCTTCATTAGCTTGAGAAACCAATTCATTCCTCCTGTTTCAATGGAATGTTATATATATATAGCGGTCCTGGATTTATTTCATGTGGTTTTGACCACTCATGGTCAAAATGAATAATACACAAATAGTATAGCAAAGAAATTTCAAAAAAAATGATGAATTTCCATGTGCATATAACCCAGCTCAGTCAGTTCATGTTATGATCAATTGTGTTTGTGTGTGATCTGTTTCTTTGCTTTTAATTCTGTGAAAACATGCCTCCCAAAAAGTAAATGGTGTCCAAAAAGCAAGGTAAAAGTTATAGTAAACCTCTCAAGCCAAAAAAGGGCATATAATGAACTTAATTTAAGTAATAAAGTGAAAATTTGACATTAGTTGAAAAGTGGCATGTCTTCAGTAGAAGTTGCAAAATGTTATGGGAAATCAAGCATACACACCACAGTACTAAACTGTACATATTCTGAACATTATCGGTTTTTCCTCAACAGTGGTCTCCTTGGAACCATACACCCACAAATACCAAGTGATTACTGTACAGAGTCTTTTTTTTGACCACACAGTAAGTATTTAGCCTGATGGGTGGCCAATTACATTAGTACAGATTTTAGTTATGGGACATTTCCACTGCCAACAAAGCAGTGTGCCAAAAATTTTGCCGTCAATCTGATATCCTTCCCTCAAACAGAATGTCAACTCTATCATTGTCACTAGCTTCATGCTTTACCCAAATGCTATTTTCCTAAAAATATCTGTCACTGAATGGCTGCATCAATGCCCAAAGATCTTCACCCTTCCCTGTTATCCATGCACTGCTTTGGTTACTGGAATGGTAGCAAACATGATCTAAGGGAAGTCTTGAAAGGCACTGTGTGACTGGGTGTGTGATGCTTCTGCACCTCTGCAAGCACAAGAACACGGCCAGGGAAGCCTTCAGAGCACACCTAGTTGCCTCCTGCTAAATGTATTACATGTGACACATGCAGCTGAGACAGGAATAACTATCAAGTTCACTCTAAATCAACTATAAGGTAAAGGGGTAAATAAATACTGAGTCACTGAGTTTTGAGGTGGTTTGCTATGTAGTAGTGATAGATAACCAACACAATGCTGTACCACCAACACAAGTTGTCAGTGCATGAGCACTTAAGATCTCTTAACCGTGAGATACTAGATTCCTTGTACTTCAGGACCTTGGTCTTAATAGTCTCCATTTTCACCCAGCTTTTCAGAAAAGGTTAGCTAAACAAAAAAAAAAAAGTAACATTTTTCTTTAAAAAAAAAAAAAAAAAAGAATGTATTTCCCTTTGTACATAAATTCCTTAAGGCTATACTTTAAAGCTACCTGCGGAACTCCGTCTCCCCCATTCTGCACTTTTGTAAAATGCTCTAGATTATACTGCATGGTATCTATACTATGTTATAAAGTAGTAAGTTATCAAATCAACCAAAGACAATATAGAGTATCTTCTTTGGAGTATGATTATAACAAGTTGATTCTATATAGGGAAAATGAACATATTTGGAAATTAGCATTAAAAACTATTGCCAACTTTTGCATGTTGTACTGCCTGTTTTACAAGCAAAACAATGTCTAAAATTTGCTTCTGAAAGGAAATAAAAGCAACAGTAAAGGGCTGAGGCATGGCTTGAGTGGTAGAGCACCTGCCTAGCAAGTACAAAGCCTTAAGTTCAAACCCAGGTACCACCCCCAAACAAAGAAAGACAATACAAAACTGATGGTTCTGAAACTTGGTGATGGACCCACTGAGATTCAGTCTACTTTTCTACATGCATTGTGTGTGTGTTAAGTTCACAAAACATTTTTTTAAAAAGCCAAGTAAAACATGTAAGTCAGTCAATATTCAGTGGCTTAAACACCAGCATTCCAATTAGAAAATGAGCAAAGATATACACAAGACATTTCACTAAAAAGAAAACAGCAAGCATACATGTGAAAAAATAATTTAACAGCATTAGACATTAGGAAAATACACAGTGAAACTTTTTCTCCTTGAGACCATGTCTTTCCACTGGAATTTGATATGCTCTTCACCATTGTTATCATCCTCCTCCTGGGAAACCAGTTTATTCCAACTATTTTCATGGCATATAACACATACATCCCAAGCCTGCCTTACTCATTAATTTATTACATGCAGTTTTAAACAAGTACAATAAAAAATAAATTTTAAAAATAGTATTTCCAAACCAACAATTTTAACATTACCCAGATCAATTCATATGACGCAGCTCTTAGTCAGTCCCTCATTATCGTCAGTTGTGTTTAAAATGACTGTGTGACTGTGTGAACCCAACTTACCCAATATTCGTGAAATAACCTACTTTTAGAGACAAACATTAGTGGTTGCCATGGGGCTGGAGATGGGGGAGAGCATATGGGTGTGGCTATGAAGATGGAGCAAGTACTATTGAGGGAGTTTTGTGATGATGCCATGGATATCTTAATTGTGGTGTAGGTGCTACGGGTTAAAATTGCAGAAAACTACACATACATACACATATACCAGTTATGCATGCATCGCTAGTGAACTCTGAATATAATGCTTATTAATTTATATAATAAATTTTGTATAAAAGTTATGATAAAATATCAAACATATTAACTGGTATTAATTCTCTGATACTGTACTACAGTTGTATAAGATGTTGGTATTGGGGTAAACAAGAAGAAAAGTACCCAGAATTTTTATATATGTCTTTGCAATCTCCTGCCAGTCAGTTCCATAATGAAGACAAACAGCGTAGGGAACTGAGCCTGCATTCTGTACTGCTGAAAGGATCAAGACTCTTACTTTTGCTGCCACTTCAGCACTAATTTCTTCTTGGGTTTCTGCCAGTCTTTTCTTAGCCACTTCTGTTCTTCGATCACAATCTGCAATGAATGACTGCAGATGATCCATGGCCTATAAAGTTTAATTTAAAATGAAATTACTGCCAGAAAGTCAACTTTATTCAAAAATTATACTTTGGGGGCTGAGGGTGTAGCCCAGTGGTTGAACACCACTGGCACTGTGTGAAGCTTTGAGTTCAATCCCCAGTACTGGGCTGGGGTCCTGAGTTCAAACTCTAGTACCAAAAAAAAAAAAAAAAAGAAAAGAAAAAAGAAAAAAAACCCACTAATACTTTTTTAAAATGCTTCCATGGGGGGGTGGGGAAGAGAGAAAAAGGCAGTTTTAATTATAAATCCAAAACACTATGTATCTACTACCAAATTAGCAAACAGTAAACAAATAATTCCAGGAAAGGTAATGGATACAAGGAAACTGTCACTTTCTTACTCTGTTTAAGGAAGCACAAACCAATCTTGCCTTCATAAAAGGGCAAACTTTTATCCAGATCTGGTAGCACATTTCTGTAATCTCAGTACTCAGAAGGCTGAGGCAGGAGGATCACAAGTTTGACATAAGCTAGGCTATACACAGCAAGACCCACTGGTGCACCAAAGACTTTAAAATGTCTTGGACTCAGTAACTTTACTTCCAGAAATTTGTCTTAAGAAATAACATCCAGAGATGTTTATTCACAGTGCTGTAACAGTGAAGTTATAAATACTCTAAATATTCAACTAACACTATGAACTCTTTTTGGCAGCACTGTGGTTGAACTCAGGGCCTCGTGCTTGCTAGGCAGGGGCTCTTACCGCTTAAGCCACTGCCAGTCCAACAACATTATGAAATCTTGACCTTCAGTCATTTAAAAAGGTTTTAATAAAATACCTGAAAACAGGAAAATGTTTACGATTCATTTATAAATGAAAAGTTGCAAACATTATATGCAGTAATATCCCAATTTTGTAAGATAAAAGTATAGAAAAAAATGAAGACCATATACAAAGTGCCAATAAATCATTTTTGGATACTGAGATAACTTCTTGCTTTCTGCATTTTTTAAAATTTCCGCAATGAAAATTTTACCATCAGGAAAACTTACTATTTGTTCAAAAAAGAACCACTGAGAATTTTAACAGTGTCTGTACTAGAAAAATCCCTATCAACACCTTTAAATTAACTAAAAAATATAAACTTATTCAGTATATACTACCTTTTGCCTGTCAAAGTTGCCTAAAGAGATCTTAACATACTATGTGGCTATATGGGAAATATGTAATCTCATACATTACTGGTGGGAGAGTAAACTGATAATTCCCATGAAAAGCAAGTTGGCAATACCTAAAAAATTACTCTTTCACTCAGCTATCCTGTATCTCAATAATATTTATCCTATAAATTAACCTAAGTATCTATACCATCACATCCAAATGATGGAAGTTTCTGCTGTAATTTATGCTCAGAATGTACTCATCTATTTACATAAGATTTCCATTTCCTCTGGCAGCAAAAGTTCTTGGACATTCAGAGAAATAAAGCCAGAAGGGTCTTTATTGCTTTATCTCCCAAAGCAAATAAAAATACCTATTTTATCTCACTGACCAAAACAAAACAAAACCAAGGCTTATGCTCATGTATTCTGTGATACTGACTGGCTTGCTTTTTTGGGGGGCACTGTATTGGGGTTTCAACTCAGGGCTGAATACTTGCTAGGCAGGTGCTCTACTCCTTGAGTCATTCTGCCAGCCCTTTTTTTGTGTGAAGTGTTTTTTTTTTGAGATAGGGACTTTCAAGCCATTTAAAATAGCCTGGGTTGGTTTCGAACCTTGATCCTCCTGATCTCTGTCTCCCAAGTAGCTAAGATTACAGTTGTAAGCCACCGGCGCCCACCTTGATTGGCTTGCTTTTTAAAAATACAAAAAAAAGTTTATTTTTATACAAGAAATCGTCATATAAAGTCACATTCAGATACTTAAATGGCATCTTCTATTACTTCTACATTCAAAATATTGTCTTTAATACCCCCCATTATCTATAGATAATACAAAATAAATATGAACGTAAACATTCAGTAGATTTAAAGAACAGGCCTAAAAATACACACCATTTTTATTTTATTGGGACAAAGAGACTTAATTTTTCAAAAGAATATATGAATTGTATGACTTTTACAGATTTTCTTAAAATATACCCAGCTTCACCTTATATTTTAAAGTGTTGTGTAAAACAAAAACAAAACATGACCTTAAGTACTAACATTCACATAACCATAGAGGATAATGTGCTAAGAGTCTTTCTATTAAGAAATATTAATACATATTCAAAATGTTTTACTACAAAAGACAATACAACCATTATAGTAAAATCACATACATCAAGTTCAAAGAAAAAATCCTGCTCTTTGGATGCAATTTCATAATCTGCTCTTAAGGCCAGGTCATGGACTTTCAGACATTCTCCAAGATCCATTCTCTAGAGGAGACAAAAAAAAAAGACTTAATATTAAAAACACATTTCAAAACTTCCTCAACAACCATAGCTCTCTTAAGAATATATATTGTTATATAGATACTTCTATCTATTTCTATGTGTATATGGACAACTGACAAGATCTCTCATGAAATTGTTTTGGGGAAAAAAAGAGAAAAAAATGGGCAAGGTACAAAGTTAATTACAAATGTGATTAGTGGGTGATCAAAGCAAAGAAGACTTTTCAATTGGAGGTCTGCAAACTCCAGCCCTTGGTCCATGGAAGGCTAGTAACAAGGAGTACAAAACAGTATAGTAAATATGTCTGTTATTTCGCTCACACAAACAATGCATAACAACAAAACAGTGATGGTAGTAAAGTCATTCCTTCAATTAACTAAGTACCACTAAGAGACACAAACATAGCCAGCCTCTAACTTTATGCAGCTTGCATTCTAGAAAAGGGGAAACAATAAACAAGAGCCGTGTCTTTGAACAAAAAGTTCAAAGAAGAGGTGGTCAAAGAAGACTTTTCTCAAGAAGATCTATTTAAACTATATCTAAAGAGGGAGAACCAGTGCTGCGTGTGATAGTGCACACCTGTAATCCCAGCACTCAGGAGGTTGAGGCAGGAGGACCACAAGTTCTGACTTCAGCCTGGGTAACATATCAAGACCATCTTTTAAAAAAACCTGTGAAAGGAGGGGAGGTTAAGGAAGTAACAGAGGTAATAAATTTGATCAAAGCACACTATAGGTATGGAAATATCACAATGCAAGTCTTTTGCACAATTAATTTATGCTAGTAAGAAAGCAGACAGGGCTAAGGATGTGACCTAGTGGTAAAGCACTTGCCTCGCATGCTGGGGGCTCCGGGTTCTTTCTTTCCCCAGCAAAGAAAGAAAAGAAGGAACCCTAGCAAAGACAGAGTGAGTGAGTGCATGAGTGAGGAGGAAGGAAGGCACAAGCTAGGTGCGACTCAGGTGCAGCAGAGCATATGGTAACAGAAAGTGGGACCTGAGTATCTACTGCACACAGACATGACCCTTAGCTTCATGTGTCTACAAATGACAGTGTACCTAACTCTTTTCTTCTTGCCATCAACCTTAGTATTTATGAAACAAAGAATTTGATCATTAGACTTGCATAATATCCCAAACTTAGAAGGACAGTGCCTTGACTGAATCAAGACTCAAAAAGATTACTAGACCAGATAAAATTTAATCAAACAAATATGAAGAAATGGTTCTCTATGAAAATAAATTTACAAATAAATAACTAGGATGAGCAGAAAATCAGACTAACTTTAAGCCTAATTAGTGAAAAGGGTTATATAGTAAATGCCTGTAATCCCGGCACCCAGGAAACAGGCAGGAAGAGTCTGAGGGTGGCCTAGCCTCATAAGACCACAGAAAGGCCACATAAAAAGCAAGCAAACAACAGCACAAAAAAATAAGAATTATAGTATGGCATGACTGAGATAAATCTGTGACCTAACATTAACTTTAAAAAGCTGTATTATGAGCCAAGTGAGAAATATTTACTGAACACTGGTTTCAAAATCAACTCCTGACCTCCAAAGAGCAAGTTCTGTGTGCTAACACATTTCAAAAGAAGTATGAATGAGACAAAGTGTCTCAAAACCAAGATATGCAGAAAAGTCATGTTACAGGGAAATTGGTAGAGAAGAGAAAAACAAACATGTAAGCTATTCATTAACCAAATGAAGAACTTCGAATTCCGAAGCAAAAATAGACTTGTTCTATAATGAGCCCAAGGGACTCAATTAGGTTTTAATTCTCTCAATATAAAAAGAAAATACTTTCTAATAATTACAGGTTTCTAAAGATGGAAGAAACCTCCTTGAAGTAAGTGAGTTCACAGATAGCTGAGGGGTTCAAATACAGTTTTCATATTCACAGATATTGAAGAAAGAATTCAACCAGGTAGCTTTTATGCTTTCAAATTCTAGATTTTACAACTTTAAAAAAAACAAAAAAACAATGTTCCTCTGTAAAACTATATTACGCTCAGTTCTTATTCTTTTTTTTGTGGCAGCACTGGGATTTTAACTCAGGCTTCATACTTGTTAGACAGGTGCTCTTACCATTTGATCCATTCCACCAGCCCTTTTTTTTATGATGGTTTTTTTTTCAAGATAGGGTCTCACATACCATTTGCCTGGGACTGGCTCTGAACTGCGATCCTCCTGATCTCTGCGTCCTGAATAGCTAGGATTATAGGAGTGAGCCACTGGCCAGCAGACTCAGTTCTTAATTACATAAAGGAATGAACGGGAAAAGAATAAATAGTGTCCCTAAGTTTCCCTGTAAGAAATAATAAGGAAGCTCAGCATGGAGACACATGCCTATCATCACAGCAATAGGGAGGCTGAGATAGAAGGTTCACAAGCCCAAGGCCTAATCTCAAAAAAACAAACAAACAAACAAACAAAAAACCCTGCTGCTAGAGGAGTGGTGTAAGTGGTAAGAGCACCTGCCTAGCAAGCATGAGGCTGAGTTCAAACCCTAGTAACATCAAAAACAAAACAAAGCAAAAAGTAATTCCTTATTAAGAAAAAGAAGTAGAAAAAACTTAAGTACCCTTTAAAATTTTCCAAAAATTAAGGTAAGAATGAAAGAAATTAATGGCAAAAGAATATGTCAGTCTTTGTAAGTCAATAGGCTTCTTGTTTTCTTAACATCCCTGCAACAACTCCCTTTACATCTATCTGTATGCATTTCTGCAGTTGTTCTTGTTCACGGAGTACTATATTTTATCATATTTCATAAAGTGTAAGACGTCACAGTTACAAGTAGTTCTCAACCTGGACCCAGGAAGTTCTGACCTAACATCAATGGAAGCTTTTTAAAACCAGGCCCAGGTCCTACCTCCTAAATACTGACTGAACTGTAAAAAACCTCCCTGGTGTTTTTGGTTTGTGGTGTTGAAAACCACTGACTAATCTAGTTTCATTCCCATTCTTGGACAAAAAGAATGACTTGCTCAGAGTACTTAGAAAAATCTGGTTAGACTGATTCTTAGTCTAACACCTTTTCCACTTAACCATGTTAGTGCCATTTATTTCAGTACTAACTTATCTTTTAGCATTTTTCAGTAAGTCATCTCCCGTAACATCTTAAAAAAAATTTTAAAAAGCTCTTCACAGCAGACACTCAAAGCTGCATTTTTACCAGTTTCCCCTTATTCATCCCTCCTCACTACATTTCCAATCTGTTCTCAAGAAAAACTTGAAAATAACATAAATTTTACCTCACACATGTCTCTATGGCAGGAATTCTAGGACACAAACATATCCCAACTAAGTTTATAACACGCAACCAAACCGAAGGAAGAAAAGGAGCTATGTAATTCAAGAATAAAATGAACAAATGAAAGTACAGAATTATGCCACTGTAGTAAGGGCTAAGTTTTTGGTGAGAGTTGGGAGGAAGGTCTGTCTTGAGGTAAAGAGGGGGCAGATGTACGGGCTTATTGGAATGTAAGGTCCACAAGGGCAAGGAATCTTGTTGGTTTTATCCACTATGTACCTATACATGGTATATAAGAATCCTTAATAATGATCTGTTCAATGGCCCAAACTGGGAAGAGGTCAGAGAGGAACATTTGGCACTGGGGGCTCTAGGCTTATTAACAAGCAAGGGTGGTCCAGACACATCCCAGGACAAAACTGCTCTGGAGGGCAGGAGTTCCTAGCCGTTCCTTGGATTATCTCCTTTCCCTGGACTCCGTTCCTGAAGTTTTTCAAGCTAGTCTTTTTTGTGTGTGTTCTTCTCTTCCAAAAGACAGACTACACGGGCTATCACTATCCTGAACTCTTGGAACTTTATAGTCAAGTCTGGCTTATATTAACTTCAAGGCCAAAATCTCAGGAGCAAGGCCTAGCTATAAATAAAGGCTTTTTATCTTCTTCTCTCTCTTTTTTTTTTTTTGTCTAGCATGTCTTCAGTGCCCATCTCATCTCTAAAGGACCTAGCAGGATAGGTGTAGCAAGGCAGATGCTCTGAGTTAAGTACCAGTCATCTATTTCCTCTGTCCAGACCATCACAACCAAGCACCACAACTGGCACTATGCCAAGCATATAAGTAAATTAAAAAAGCAAGCAAGCCAAAGAACCTCCCAACAACTATCTGCCACTGTAAAAGTGAGTGAAAGGGAAAGCATGCCTTGGTTAACATTCTCCATGATGCTATTTATGTAATTAAAGAGCCACTACAGAGGGAAGGAACCATGACAGAACCACACTATGACCAACTATGAACCAATCTCTAGCCCCTGTATCTCTGCCAGATCCATCCTGACTTCATCACTAATGGTGTCAGTGTTTCCAACACCAAGTGCTTGGATATTTGTTGCTGCTGTTTCTCTTTGTAAGTTAGTGAAACTGAACAAAATTAAATGTTTAAAAATTTATCCTAACTTAAAATAACTATGTGATGAAACCCAAAAGAAGTGTTTCCATTTATTAACGTTTAGTAAATAATTTACTTCACAGCCAAATTCTTTCCAGAGTTTATTCTTGGTATTTTAATTAACAGACATTCTTAGATTAAAAATGGAAAAGCTGATGCTTACTTTTCAATGGAATAAATTCAGTTCTGTTTTTTTCCTCCATTTTAAATCCATTTCTCTACAGGTCTTGACCAGATAACTGATCCTGATCCTACATGATCCTGACAATGTATCTTAAAACTCAAAAGCATTCTAGACTGTTTTTCTGTTTAACAAAGTTGCTTTTTAGTTCTTCATTTCTGAAAATGAATGTTATCTTCCCAAATGGACTCTAAAAAAGTTCTATTTCCCATTTCTCATTCCTACATAGAGTAGGTTTTGCACAATTCCTGCTGCATAAACCATGATTGTGAAATAAACTTGATTTGACTATAAAGAGTTCTGAAAACTTAAGGAAACAGTAAGTACAAAAAATGGGCAAGAAAGATTAACAATGTTTTTGCTGTACAAAAGAAACATTTTAAGAGCCT